CCAGAAATAGCCACTTTCATTTTCAGTGTATTGAGGCAAGATTTCTATAATTCTGTGATTCAGTATCAATGATTTCTTCTCTCTTCCTAGATGATAATGATAATTTGTGTTTCTTCCTGGAAGAGAATAGGCACATATGAAAGAGTGGCTCATTCTTGTGCCATGAGAACTTGTGTCTCTAATACATTAGTATTAATTTTCATATGTTTTATGAGGAACAGGATAACAAGTCAGAAATTAACTTAAATTATCTGGAAGTGAATAACATGTTATGTTAACTCATAAAATTTTAATATGATTTAGTGGAATTCCATTGACTTGGCATGGTTTGTTGTCCTCCCCTTCTCCCCCAAATAGGCTTTATTAATAGCTAAAATTATGATCTGTTCAGTATATCTATTTAGTTGCTGACTTAGTAATGTTGTATTAGTTCATGATTTAGCTGGGGGGTAAGTTGCTGTCTCAAGATATATTTCACTTGAGAACTTTGTCTCAGCTTAAACTTATTGGATATTAATTTAATCAGTAGGTAGTACATCAGAGAATGTTGACTTCATTATATACTTATTTGGTAGTAATGTGAATAACCGAAGCATGGGTATATTTCTAGGCATCTCATAAAATTAGTATTGCTTTCAATAAACTAGGTGATATGGTACTGGTTCTTTATGAAGCACAAGGGTTTTAATTATTTGTAAAAGAGTGAGTTAATATGGTACTTCACAGATATGCTTGTATAAGGTGAAGACTAAAAACCAGTTTAATTATGTTGTCTTAAATAATTATTAGCTCTTCTTTGTGTTTACCAAGTTGGTTTTAATTCCACTTTGAAAAATGATCCCTTGTCAAGTCTTAGGATTTTAAATAATCTTCAGTTCATTTGAGAAATGTATGTATTCATTTTCCTTATTTTCTTCCTGTAACAAATTACTGTGAATATTTTAGCATCACAAGGCAATCTTTGAATGGCAATTGATAGTAGAAGAAATAGGATTCACAAAGTCACTTTGAGCTAGGATGTTATGGCAGACTAAGGAATAGAAAGAAGCATGGGAATCCTGTCCCTGGTGATTTGTTGTGGTTTTAAAATGTGGCATTTGTATCTGTCATCTTGACGTTATGTTTATAGATTGTAGGCTAACTTTTCTATTTTTTTGCTAAAATTTATGTTTATATATTGATAACCAGAGAAGATGTTACTGGAGCCCTGCTTTTATATGCAATTCTAGTGTACTTGATAATGTATTTCAGACCATTAATATAATAAAAATGGCACATTAGAGGTAGGAGCACAGACTACCATAAGGAGAGATGCTTAGATCAATAGCTTAAGAGCCTTGGAAGTTTTATTTGTTTAAGTTAACATAGAAGCAACTAGCCCCCAAGGGGCCATTCCTGAACTATGAAACATGATAGTAATTGTCTCAGTAGTTATCATGTATTGTCAGGAGAAAATTAAATTAATTTTCATGTATTTTTTGTTTTAAAAGGCAGGAAGGTTGATAATACTGTTTTGGAACATTTCCTTTCAAAATGTGTACATTAAATATTTTTATACATAAATGATAAGCCCTTAAATACTTGAACATTTGATCAGAAAGGTTTATTATACAAGTTAATAAAGTAATAATAATGGTATTCTAAACATCAGTCATAGTTTGACAGCTTCCACATTGTTAACAGTTATCAGTCACTGCTTTATAAAATTTGACTGCTTTCTTTTTACTCTGAAACATTAATTTAAGCAGTTTACCTCTGACTGTGATGGAAGTCAAATACATGCATGGATATGTTATTTCAAAGGAATGTTCAAAATAGAATCTTTCATTAATTTAATTAAATATATACAGATTTGAGTTATTGGCAAGAGAAAGGAGGACAACCAATGTTATAGGAGAGGAGGGAAGAATGTGGTGTATCTGAGCTGAAGGTCCAGGGGCTGATACAGTGCACATGTGTGGAAGATGCTGTGGAAACAGGAGTGCAGGTGCTTGTCCCTGGCAGCAGAATGGAAGTGTGAACCACTTACTTGCTATACAGTCTGTAGTTTGGCTTTAGTTCAAAAGGAAACCTATACACCAGTGTTTATTGCAGCACTAGTTACAGTATTTGAGATATAGAAACAACCCAAATGCCCAAAAATAGATGAGTGGATGAAGATGTGGTATATGTAACAATGGAAAACTATTTAGCAATCAAAAAAAAGATAAACTCATGCCATTTGCAGCAACATGGATAGGGCTAGAATGGATTATGCTCAGTGAAATAAGCCAGAAGGAAAAAGAAAATTGTTGGATAGTTTCACTTCTAGGAGGAATATAGGGGAGCCAAATTAGGGGTCAGGAAAGAAAATAGCAATAATGATAAATAAACAAGCAAAATTAGCAGGCAACTATAAATCAGAGACATTTTGCAAGAGAGAGGCAGGTAGAGAAATCAAAATGGAGAGAAGAGTACATGGGACTATGATGGTGATTTATGGGTGAATTGGTAGTGGAAATTTCACAGGAAATACACCTGAAAGGATAAAGCATACAAGCATATATTGTACAAAAATGAACAAGGATGTAAAGCACATTAATTTATATATGCAACAATTTGTAGATTTGGGATTCGGTGGTAGGAAGATGAGGAATTTCTCTTTAAAGTTATCTACTGGGACAGAATGGAAGTTGTTGGAGAGTGTGAGGCTTGATGATGAGCCACCATGGAAAGCAGGAAGTTTTGTAATAGTGTTGAAGAGCCAGTGTAATGGATGAATTTATGTGTTTGCAAAATTTTATGACTTTTCTGTAATACAGCAATCAGGGCATAGACCAACAAAAACAAGTGGTTAACTTTATATTTGGACTTTGCATCTCTTGTCAACAATGCTTCTGAATCAGAATCTAAGTAGTTAGGCATGCTAAAGTTTCAGATTAGTCTAAGAGGTTATTATTGGATCTGGTCTTTAGGAGTAGTTTTACTTAATATTCCATTACTTTTTGGCCATGATATACAGTTGACATTTAAAATGTCTGAATTTCATAAACTGTTATCTACTCTTTTTGAATAGTGGTTAATAATATTTAAACTAGTAATATTCTTGGAACATTCTTGAAAGACTGTTGTACAAGTAGAGTATCTGAGCAAAATTAGGTCATTATTGCTCACAGTAGGAGGTTGAATCTGTATGATTCAGAGAAGTAGAGACCCATGTATCAGTTTCTTAAGGGGATTTGAACTTGGCCAATTATGGTAACTGACTTGATAATTTATTTCAGACTGTATCTAATGTTGGAGATTTCAGTCAAGAGAGCAGATGCTTGGGAAAGAAAAATAAATGCAAAGATAGGGACAGCAAGGTAGAACCCACAAGCATGAGCTGTGGTTTGGGCAGTATCACATGTCAGTTATTGTTGCCTCTGTCCTTGTGGTATGGATGTTCCATGGAGGCCAGAGCTAAATAAACTGGGCCCCAAGTCAGAGAAGCCGAAGGAGGTTGGAGAGAATGTGTAGCGATTGCAGACCTTACTTACAGCCTTATACCAGGGGGTGTACATGAACAATGCATGCAGACTCTAAAATGGTTGCTGTTTCGTTTCTCCTTCCCAGGACTCCCTTCAGAATCTCTTATGTTTCCACCCTAAACACATAAATGAAAGGGAATTCTGGGAAATGTGTGTGTCTGTCCTCAAATTGATGAAGTGATCACAATACCTTGTTAACTTGGCACATTTCTTTAAATTATATTTTACATCCAAATAAAGAAAACAAGGTCATACTTCTGCCTAATGAGATACAACCCCATTCTGTATTAAGTTTTTGTATTTATCAAATGAGAATGAGAGTTCCTGTGTTTTAGGGATAGTTTGATGTGAGAATACTTAATGTTTCTGTTAATAGTGCAGTTCGTCATGATTATCATGAAAATAATTAGGAAACAGTTCTGATAAATTGTATAGAATGTAGCATACTATATATATACTTGGGATAAAGGTCTGAAGTTAAAATAATGGATTTTAAGTCAGGGTGTTTGTTCACATAAATAGACAAACCTAAAGAATAGAGAGGCAGGGCCCTCCCTGGTGGCGCAGTGGGTTAAAGCACTCTACTAAGAAGCTAAAGCCACGTCTGCATGAGTTTGTTCTCCTGACCGGCGGGCTGCTCCCCTCAGCAGTGTACTTGACAATCTGCCTGTTCTGCTCCCCGCTCTGTATGTGGTGAATCCTCTCACCGCCCCTGCATCTCTGGCCTGTACCCAAGTTCTGTATGCATAAATAAATAAATCTTTAAAAAAATCTTTAAAAAAAAGAATAGTGAGGCACATAAGGAATTAATATGGATGTGATCAGTGTGACTAGAGAGCCATCAGTGCCAGCTCATTGAAGATCTTGTCAGCAGAGAGGTCGTTCACATTTATGAGTCCTTACTGTGTGCCTGGAACAGGTTGGATTAAATGAGATAACCTGGTAAGATAGGTGGCATGGTTGGCACCGTTGTAAATGAGAAAAATAGACCAAGTCCAAGGTGAGGCATGCTTGGGTTAGTATCTTATTGTGGTCAGAGACAGAAATAGGTGGATACAATTGTGTCTTGTGTTTGAAAAGTATCATCTTGACTCCTCTTGTGGGAGAGGCATGGAGAAGGTGCCTGGAGATATAGTTGAGGAATGCTTTGTTTTTCTTTATAGGGTACATGCTAACTTAAAAATAAAAGTAGTTCATCTCTCAGAGGTTCATGTTCCTCATTTATTAAATGGAAATGGGAATGATTTCCCACTCACAGGAGTATAAAGCTATCAGATCTCATAGAATTTCGAGTACTACTCAGTAAACTTTACCTGTGATGATGATGATGACAACCACATTGTGAGCCTTGGAGATAAACTCAAATTTTAAGTTATTATGCTTTTAATGTAAGAGTATTATAGAACTTACAAATAGGACATGTATGTGTGATTATAATAACATCGTAACCTCCACATTTATTCTCACCCCACTGTTACTTTGATTTTTCAGTTTATGGGAAAAACAGATGGGGACTATTACACCCTGGATGACATGTTTGTCTCCAAAGCAGCTGAGAAAGGACATTTTGGTGAAGAGGAAGCAAATCAGAGGAAAAAAGCAATTGCTGAGCACCAGAGTCTCGCTGCACAAATGGAAAAATGTCTCTATTGTTTTGACAGCTCCCAATTTCCCAAGCACCTTATTGTTGCAATAGGTGTTAAGGTAAGAATTCTACCGTATTAAAAGGGAAGATACTTCTTTAATAGAGAAAAAAGGGGCACAAACACATACATTGACTTAAGGAAAGGATTTAGTGGTAGACGTAGATTTGCTACTTCTTATTACTGTGTAAGATCCTTCAGGAATCCAACCTTATTCTGTGTTTCAAATAACTTTCCGTGATTTTACAGTCTTGAATAGTGTGAGACTAAATATTGAAATGACACACACATTTTGTGTGATTCTCCCCTTTACAGCAGCGGTAGCGGGGTAGCTGTAATGGGTGTGGTGAAGGCCCTGGAGTTGAGACCCAAATGCCCCATACTACGAGTCTGGCTCTGCTGCTCATCCACAGTGTGACCTCCTTTTCATGACCGCATTGCATTCTTAGCATTAAAATCACCTCGGAGATACTGAATCAATGTAGTTTTACCCCTTACTATTTCAAAGTATTTGGTTTTTCATGGACCATCTCATAATTTGGAAAAGTTTACTTGTATTGTTTATCTTTTGTTTTGTTGAGACTTCCTCCATAATCTAAGTTCCATGAGAACAGACATAACTTCTGCCTCCCTTATATACCGCACATATAACCCATTTGTGTACTTTGTCTATTTATTTGATACATGATTTCATGTCTTTGAATTAATATTTGGTAATTTGATTTCTATATTAAGCAAATAATTACTGTGTGCCTGATATGTGCCCAACCCTAATTAGTCACTAGAGAACAGTAGAGATTCAGAGAAACGTATGGAATTTATATCCTATTTTTAGTGAAATAGGGTCACTAGAAATAGGATAACAAAGTATCACTTTCATGGATTTAAGAAATTGTTAAAGTTTCTTAAAATTGTTAGAAAGCTCATCTAGGGAAATGAGATAAAATGGTGGGAAAGTATTTTTTGAGGTGGTGATCTGAAGGGTTTTGTGAGGAGGTGTTTTAGTAAAGATATGAAAGATGGGAAGGAGCAAGCAACTAAATTAAAATATGAATGAATAATGTTTGAGGAAGGGCTTTCTGTGAGTAAAAAGCTTAAGAGGAAATCAGTTCTTTTTTTTTTTTTTCCTTTACATGGAAAAGAAAGACGCTAGTGGAGTGGGTTGAGTAAAAAAAAAGTGAAGGAGAGGAAGTGAACAGATGAATGCTAGTGTCAGGAACTGATAATTTGGGGGCTACACACATATGTTTGATTTGTTTGTTGTGTTCTCTCCTCTCCGGCTCCCTGTTTTTCCTCCCTTCTCTGTGTGCAGAAAACCCATTGGCTTCTCTCTTCCCTCAATAGTATCCTGAGTTCATTGAGGCAGTGTGTCAGTTTGAATTTTGGTTTCTTTCCTTTGTCTGCTTCCCCATCTTTTTCTTCTCTTTCTTTTCTTCCATACTTTATTAAAAAGGTAAATGTAAAAAAATTTTAAAGGAAAAATCCCTACCCTTTAACTAATTGTGATAATGTTTCTAAGTTTTTTTCTAGGCCTTTATAAATACATTTGTATTTTTTTTTTTAAAGATTTATTTATTTGTACATACAGAACTGGGGTACAGGCCAGAGGCTCAGGAGTGGTGAGAGGCTTCACCAGAGACAGAGTGGGGAGCAGAACAGGCAGATCGATGAAGTACACTGCTGAGAGCAGCAGCGGGCGGGTCAGGAGAGGTCTGCCTCGCCATGTGGTCACCTCCGGGGCAGGCGGGACTCGAATTCATGTGGAAGTGGCTTTAGCTTCTTAGTGCTGTGCTTTAACCCGCTGCACCACCAGGGAGGGCCCATTTGTATTTTTTATACTTATGACCTTATAAGTATTTCATTCCGTACATTTAAAAAAAGTTAAGAATTAATCAAACAGAAAGTAACACTAAGTCTTTCTTCCTACAATGCTTTAGGAGAAGTTGGGTTTTCAACCATCTCCTTTCCCCCAGCACAAGGGAGACAGGCTGGGCCCAGGAAGGCACAGAGGTGTTCCGTATACCCACCTTTGATAAGCTTCTATTTCAGATGCCTCAGTGGCATTTGTTAATTCACAAGCAGGAAAAACTGTTGGTCAGTAAAGAGGCATTTCCATTTCTTCACCTTGTTCTGATTTAGGCATTCCTTTTGCCTTTCTTCTCAGTTTTTCTTCTGGAGGGAAAGGCACATTTTCTTGCTCATCATTTCTATCAAACACTTGTTTGCCTTCAGCTCACTGAGAGTTGGTTGATCACTTCTCTTTTAGAATAGTATTTCCATTCTGTTATCATTTTAAAACCATTTGTAACTCTTCTTTCTCCACCTATGGTTTATTATGCCATCTTTGTTCTTAACTCTGCCATCCAGCTTCAGCCTTTCATATGTGAATATTTGAATATAGAAATATTTGAAATATTGATTAGAAGCAATTTTATCCACTTCCTACAATCACTGCCTGCCTATCCCATCATCTGTAGCTAATAGGTTCTTTAATTAATCTGAATAAACAACAGTAAATTGTTGTTATTACCTGAGTTAATCATATGTGATTATTATTTTCTAAGGGGACTTTGCCTTATAGTGGAAATAAACAGTATTTCAGTGTCTTAAGTCCAGCAGTGTGAACGAGCCCATACTGCCACTTAGCAGTTAGCCCCGTAAGTTTCTGCCTCCCATCCCTGCCTCCTGCTTCCTTTTCTTTAAATGAAAATCATCTGTACATCTCAATCTTGTCTTAATACTGCTTTACTTTCTCAAAACAAACAAAAACTTCATTTTTTTTAGAGTATCTTTAGAATTATGGAGAACTTAAGCACATAATATTTTCCTACCGCACCCCTGGTTTCCTCTGGCGCGGTTACATTAGTGCATACAACTGTTAACATGAACAAGTCAGTACTGAGGATATTTTAAATTGTGAGTAAAGTTGTATTTTTGCCATAAATTTAGTTAAGTATCCTTGTCTATTCCTACTTTGGCCTCTAAGCATAATTTTCTAAGTTTGCCTTATTTCTTAAATGAATAAATACTTCTGCACAAAATATTTTTAGCGCAAACCAAATAGAAAATAAGATCAAGCTCTTTTATAGAATACCACTTCTAGTCTTTAAGAAAACGTACTGCTTACATGCTAATTATATTTTTAAAAAGACAGTTTGTGTGTGATGGAAAAATAGCATCAGATTGTAGGTAACATATGTTGGTAAACAAATAAAAATTTACTCAGAGCAGTAAAGCTGTATACAAGTGATTGCCTTTTATCTCTTAATTACTTACCCAATAGAAAGACTGAATACCTAATTAATAGGTAGTTAGGAAGTTAGACTTCTCTACCATTAGGAGGCATGTATCTTTTTATTTTTGTAAAAATTGTATTATTACAAAGCATATAGATTTCCATAGATCAAAGATTAATGTCCTTGATTCTACCCTACTTTAGTGTAAACGTTAATTTTGTTGTAGAACAATTAGAATTGAGGCTTGTGTTCCAAATTTCCAGTTTATTAAGAGTTACCCTTGTGGTTTTCAAAATATTTAAAAAAAATTAAATATCTATAAAAATACTAAGGTGAGAACAGTGCTTATATTAGTTCTTCATGAGGGCCTTTTCTGTTAGAATAGAGTAAATGGCAGTAACATTTCACCTTTGGCTTTCTTCTTTCATAGGTTTATTTGTGTTTACCCAACTTCCGTTCTCTTACCGAGGGCCACTGCCTGATAGTTCCTTTGCAGCACCATCGAGCAGCAACCTTGTTGGATGAAGATATCTGGGAGGAAATTCAGGTTGGCACAGCAATGCTCATGAGCAGTTTTTGCAAACTATTGTAATACATTCCAACAGGTTTTATACTTCATGTAGTGATTTTGCTTTCTATACTCAACTGTTTGCATACATTTCTGAATCTCAATGTGGTGTTTTTACCAATCACTCTTTTTAATTTTCTTTTTTTTTTTTTTTGTATTCCATGGTCTGAAAGCTGTTCTCTACTACATTAACTGGGAAAGTAATGATTGTTCTTACCTTTAAAAAATCAGCATAAAATTTATAATCTGTGCTTACGTAAACACAGGAGACATTCATTCTTACTACAGTAAAATAATAAAACCAAAGGAAAGATGTTTTCAGAAAATAAAAAAATAAATTTTGAATGCAGAGGTTTTTTTTAATATATGTAGCGTTTACCATATTGTTCTATGTCTGCTGCTGTGATTTTATTACCAAATTTTTTCTTTATACTTTTCCTTTCATAATCTGTCCCAAGTATTCAGGAGTTTGTTTTTATGGCTGATTCTTAAGAGATTGAAAAGGACTAGATGGGTGTAATTGCTGCTCAGTTACTTCAAGCACTCACACATTTTGACCATAAGAGGAAGGAAGAAAATGCTTGTTTTTCTTTTTTTCACTATTAAATGTTTTATTTATTTATTTTTTACATCATTCTTCATTTTGTGTATTTTCCCATTGCAGTTGAAGTCCCTGTGGCCTTCCCACCACCTGTTGAAAACTCTTGTTTTTCTAATGCTGGACATTTATAATGAGGTGTGATGGGGATACCTACTTAGAAAGTGAGAATTGTAAGACTTCAGAAGAGACTACTTAGTGTGACAATTTGTTTTTTCGTTTTTTTTTTAATAGAGATTTTATTTGTGCATACAGAACTGGGGTACAGGTCAGAGGCTCAGGGGCGGTAAGAGGCTTCACCAGAGACAGAGCAGGGAACAGAACAGGCAGATCGACGAAGTACACCGCTGAGGGGAGCAGCAGGCGGGCCAGGAGAGGTCTGCCACGCCATGTGGTCACCTCCGGGGCAGGCGGGAATCGAACTCATGTGGAAGTGGCCTTAGCCTTTCAGTGCTGTGCTTTAACCCGCTGCACCACCAGGGAGGGCCTTGGGTTATTTTTTTTAAGTAGTAGAACCAGTGCCAATAAAATAGAAAGTGTGAAATTTGGATTTCAGAATTATTTTGAAACATTTCTGGAATGTCTTTAAAAATTTTAACTGTAAAGCTGACTTAACTTAGAGCAAAATACAGTAGCAGAAAGGTTCTTTTTTTTTTTAAAAAAAGATTTATTTATGCATACAGAACTGGGGTACAGGCCAGAGGTGCAGGGATGGTAAGAGGCTTATCCAGAGACAGAGTTGGGAGCAGAACAGGCAAATCAACAAAGTGCCCTGCTGAGAGGAGCAGCAGGTGGGTCAGGAGAGGCCTGCCGCACCATGTGGTCACCTCTGGGGCTGGGTATGGAACTTGCACCCAAACAGCTGCCACCAGCTTGCAGTGCTGTGTCCTAACCCATTGCACCACCAGGAAGGGCCCTGGCAGAAAGATTCTAAGTAATATAGGAACCTAGTCTGTGTCTTCTATATTTTACAAAAATTAAGCATCTTCATGAAAATCACTTAGTTGTATAAAGAAAAATTTTTTTTCTGTGAGAATTGTTTTGACTAATAAGTGCAATATAAACAAATTATAAAAGTAAAAACAGACAAAAAAAGCAGGTAAAAGTAAATATGTTTACAATTGCTGTAGAAACAAACAAAAGAGGATTAAAAATCTCAAATGAGGAAACAACCAAAATGTGTCCTCTTATAAAGGTTTTTCCCTTGTAAGAAATGGGGATGAAGCTGAAGACGCAGTTTGGTTTCATTGCTGAAAAATGTACAAAATAATTTAGAAAACCAGTCAAGGTCAAATATTGTGAGCCGCCACTTGCACCTGCCTACTTTTGATCTGAGGAAAGTTGATGACCACAGTGCAAGGCAGAGCTGATGGCAGGGCAGCCAGGAGTTCGCTATGCAGGAGTCCCTTCTGCATAAACCTGCAAGAAGAAGCTGAGTTCAGCAGATACTGAGTACATGAATATAAAATAATTCAGGTATTTTGAAAAATACAAAGATAACATCATTCTTTTTGCCTAAAGAGATGACAAATTCTATGAATTACATTATAGATAGCAGATATTATTAATCAGATGCATTATGGAAAATTGAATGAGGAAAAAAAATCCTTTTTAATTTGTAGCTGTAGTTCCCCATTCAAGATGTATACATAGGAAATAATTAATGACACTTCTGCTTCTGGGAAAATCAAGGAGGCCTGCTTTCCTTGTTCTTTATACTTAGCACATCTAAAACCTTGAACATTAATATGATCAAAGCATAAGGCAACTGTGCAAGTTGGAGAAGAGACGGTAGCCTGGCTAGGAGCCACAGGTGCCAAGGATGACACAGGGGTGAGATCTCTGGATTTTCTTCTTGCCTTAACTTGGTACTGAAGAAATTCTTAACTTGCAAGTGCCAGTGGGTGTAGCCCAAAAAACTGCAACAGAAAACTACTCTTCTGGGGAAAGAACCAGAAAGAAGCCACCTTTCAAACCAGAATACTTCAGGCAGCAGCCACTCTTCTTTAACCCAAGGTAACAAAAACTCTGAACCTACTCCCACCCATGCCAGCAAAGGCCAAGTGGGAAGTTAGCCTTCCCCCTTCAGCAGTTTGTAACAAGGATCCCAACCCTAAGTGACATGTTGCCAGAGAAGAGCAAGTTGAGAGTCAGATTCTCATCTTGTGTCTGTGGAACCTCATGGGGTGCATTCAGGAGGTCTGCTGCTTCTCTAGTCAGGCAGGTGTCCATGGAGGCCAAGGGAGCCCAGAAGGTTCATCCCATATCCAGCAATAACAATTAGTCTTTCTCATTTTGGGGTGTAAAAAGAGGCTTAGTGGGGAATTTGAGCTCCTTTCTCTGTGTGCTGGTAACTTGGCAATGTCTCATTCATGGTTTTATTGAAAATCCAGGGAGTTATGCTCAGTTTTAAGGAAACCAACCTAGAGTATTAGATGAGTCCCTTTGTATAACATTCTTGAAATGTCAAAATTAAAGAAATGGAGAACAGCTTTGTGATTGCCAAGGTTTAAGGGGGTGGGGGACAAGCGACTGTGTTTACAAAAACTCAAAAGTAGAGATTCTTATGATGTTGGATTTGTTCTGTGTCTTGACTATATCAGTGTTATTATCTGCTGCTATTATGGTTTTGTAAACTACCATTGAAGAAAATGGGTTAAGGGTACATGAGATCTCTTTGTATTTTTTCCACATGTGATCTAGTCTCCTCATAATAAAAAAGTTTAATTAGAAAGTTATAAATCAAGGTAACATGTAAAAAGTCTCATCCTTTCACTTAGACAAATGTACTTGCAAGATGCTATGCAAGGACAGGTCTGAGAGTAGAATCTTAGGCAGCAGCAAGGTTCCACACACTGATGTGGGGAGAGTGACTTCCAGCCTGAAGCCCACTCTGTCTTCTAACCCCTGGTTTCATCCTGCATGACAGGGGGTGTCCTGTGAGAGCATGTCTCAGTCTAGCCACCCTCTGCCAACAAGTGGCCCTCAGCTCTAGGTGTAAACTAAATAAGGGTAAAGAAATAAATAGGGATTTTATAACAATGCTTATCTGTTTGGAAAAAGAGCATTCTTTTCAACTTTAGTACAATTGACCTTAATACACTTGAGACTGACGGTATTTGTGAAATAGGGAACTGCTTGAATGTACAAGGTTACAAGTTAAGGGTCAACAGACTCACCACGGAACCAGCACATGAAAATGTTGTGATACTAAAAAACAATGAGAAATGAGTTGTTCTGATCTCTTACTGAATTTAAGGGCACCTTCCTACTCAGTACCTTTGTGTGACTTAGAGATGCTCTTTTATGATTTTATTGTCAGTTCTCCCAATAAAAAAATTGATTTTTACCTCTTTTCTCACTTTAGTTTATCAGAATCATGTGTAATAAATATATACTTGAAACTGCAAGAATGTGTTTCAGCTTCTTTAAAAAAATAGAGCTTACCTATATGAACTTATGTAGCAGATTTAGAAAGTAAAGTAACTGTAAGGAAACATTTTAGTGTTCAGAAGTTATTTACTATTTGTCTTATGTTTTAAAGGGGCTTATTGTTCTTTTTTTTCATATATTGGAACTCCTCTCAGAGCTTTATTTTGGATCTCCTCTAAATGCTTTATTTATCTAGCTCTTTTTCTTTCTTCAGATGTTCAGAAGATCTTTGGTAAAGATGTTTGAAGAAAAAGAATTGGACTGTGTTTTCTTAGAGACTAACCTGAGCATGAAGAAACAGTATCATATGGTTTATGAATGCATTCCTCTCCCAAAGGAAGTGGGTGACATGGCTCCCATCTATTTTAAGGTATTTATAGTCTTTATATGCATATATTTTTTTTCTACAATGCTGTTTTTTTAATAAATATTTATTTATGCATACAGAACTGGGGTACAGGCCAGAGGTATGGGATCTGAGTGAGAAGATTCACCAGAGAGAGAGTAGGAAGCAAAACAGGCAGGTTGACTGAAATACACTGGTGAGGGGAGCAGCAGGTGGGTCAGGAGAGGTCTGTCACACCATGTGGATCACCTCTCTGGCCAGGAATTGAACTCATGCTGCATTGGCTGTGGTAGCTTCATAGTGCTGTGCTTTAACTGGTTGTGCCAACAGGGAGGGTGCCATTATAGTGCTGTTTTATGAGTACAACTCTCTTATACTTTTTCTCCCTCATACTCATGCCATGCTAACAAAGAAACAAAGCAAAGTACAAAAAAACATTCTGCTCTATAAATTTAGATGGCCTAAAATTTAGAGTTTTAATCTTTAGAAAGCATGCTTGTTTATTAATACAGATAAACTATCAAATGGATATTTATAATTTATATTTTATTTTTTTATTTCTCTACCGAAATTAAGGTTCACCATGAAATACTTTTAAGTCAAAGTTATAGTCATAGCTTTTGAAAACTTGTCATTGAAATTCACTGGAGCCAAAAATAGCCATATGTAACCAGTATTACATTTAGTTGGAGTAAGTTTTGCTGTAAATTTTAGTATTCAATAACAAACATACCATGGTATTTGTAAAAAGAATATATAACTATAACACATATTTTAATACATTAATAAATGACTAGCCTTCTTACTCTAAATTGGTCATTATCATTTTCAAATACCCTTTACTGACCTGGGTATGATATAATTTGTAGACTATTATAAATGTATTAATGTAAGTCATATGTGACTTATTAACATGTGCAATGAAAAAGAAGGTAATGTGGCCCTCTCTGGTGGCGCAGCAGGTTAAAGCACTGCACTAAGAAGCTGAAACCACTTCTGCATGAGTTCGATTCCCGCCTGCCCCAGAGGTGATCCACATGGCGTGGCAGACCATGTGACCTGCCTGCTGCTCCCCTCAGCAGTGTACTTTATGTCGATCTGCCTATTCTGCTCCCCACTCTGTCTCTGGTGAAGTCTTTTGCCACCCCTGAGTCTCTGGCTTGTACCCCAGTTCTGTATGCACAAATAAATAAATCTTAAAAAAAAAAAAAAAGAAGGTAATGTTTTTTGGCATAGGAAGCTGGTGGAGTGGTACAGGAAAACTTACAAATGCAATATTGATTCAGAATAGGGATGATATAATCTACTAAAATGGCAGTAAATCTCAATAAAAAGGATTATAAAAGCTGTTAAGATTAGTGAGGTGGTAAAAACATCTACCTTTTCTTGGGAAATTTTTAAAAAAATCTAATGATTTGGTTTGAAAAATTATGCTATTAATGTACAGTTGAATAAGCCAGTTAATCCTCAAACCCATACCAGTCTCATGTTAAGCAATTCGGTTGAGAGATTATTCTCTTTTTATTCATTGTGTGTATGTGTGCATGTGTGTGTATGTATAATTGTATGTGTATGTATGTGCGTGTATACTTCCTTAGTGGAATCTTAGCTGATTGTGACTGGCGGCCATTGAGAGGGCATACTGAACAACAGCCAGTCTTCATGTGCTTCAGGTCATCTCTGAGCAGAGTGGTGTGTTGCTTTTTGCTCCTATGCTAAATCTTTTATATGATAATTTAAAGGTGAATTTTTTTTTTGCTCCAATTTTATGTTGAATGTGCTAACGTATAGTGTTAATACAAACAGCCCATACCTTTTATGTGGCAATATATCTATTTTAATTGTGCTTACTTGAATATTAATTTCATCTTTAAAGTAGCCTATTACCTTAAGAGACCTTGTATAGCAAAAGAAACATTTGTTATTGAATACTAAATGAAATGGAGGCATCATGTTATCTAACTTTAAATTATACTATAAAGCAGTGGTGATTATAGAAATGTGGTACCGGCATAAAAAGGTAACACATTGGCCCTCCCTGGTGGCACAACGGGTTAGGATGCAGCATTGCAAGCTAGTCACAGCCACTTCAGTGTGAGTTTGATCCCCAACCCCGGAGATGATCCACATGGCACAGCTGACCTCGCCTGTCTTGCTCACTGCTCCCCTCAGCAGTGTACTTTGTTGATCTACCTATTTTGCTCCCTGCTCAATCTTTGGTGAATCTTCTCACCACCCCTGCACCTCTGTCCTGTATCCCAGTTCTGTATGCATAAATAAATACATAAAAAAAAAATTTAAAAAAAAAGAGAGACACATCAGTCAATGGAACAGAATTGAAAACTCAGAAATAAATCCATACACATATCAACATTTAATATATGATAAAGTATCAATGACCATACAATGGGAAAAGAGAGTCACTTTAATAAAGGATGCAGGGACAACTGGAAGGCCACATGTAAAAGAATGAATTTGGCCACCCTTAAGTTCAGGCACAAAAACAGATTCCAAATGGACTAACAATTTATGTAAGACCTGCAACAAGAAAATATATTGAAAAAAAATGTTGGCAATCTGTTCTATGACATCAGTGATAAAGACATTTTTGGAGAGTCAATACTTGTGGCTAGGGAAATACAAGCGAAAACAAACAATGGGTTTATCACATTTTAAACTTTTATACAGCAAAAGAAAATATAAGTAGATTAAAAAGACTTCTTACTGAGGCCCTTCCTGGTGGTACAATGGGTTAGGACACAGCACTGCAAGCTACCCACAGCAGCTTCAGTGCAAGTTTGATCTCTGGCTTTGGAGGTGACCCATATGACGCAGCAGATCTCTCCTGTCTCGCTGCTGCTCCCCTCAGCAGTGTACTTCATTGATCTGCCTGTTTTGCTCCTCACTCTGTCTCTGGTGAATCCTCTCATTGCCCCTGCACCTCTGGTCTGTACCAAAATTCTGTATGCATAGGTAAATAAATCTTTTTTAAAAAAGGCCTCTTACTGAATGGGTGAAAATATTTACACATTTCACAAGTGAGAAGGGGTTAATACCCAATATATATTAAAAACATATTTGATTTAATAATAAATAAACCAAACAATCCAATTAATAAATGGGCAGCAGATCTTAACAGACAGAGCATCAGAGAGGATATCAGAGACCTAACAGACAACATGGCAAAGTGTTTGACATGACTTTTAATAGGGTAGATACAGGTTGAAACCTCAATGAAGTATCATTTCACATCCATGAGAATGATACCCATTAAAAAGACAACCAATAAGTGCTGGAGGGGATGTGATAAAAGAGGAGTCATCTTACACTGTTAGTGGAATATAAAGAGGCTCAACAGTTATTTTGGAAAGTGATCCAGATTTACCTTAAAAAAATAAAAATGGAAATAGTGTGATTCAGCAGTCCCACTCTTGGGCATTTATCCAAAGAGTGTGAAACCATCAATTCAAAAATTAAATGCTCTCCAGTGTTTTTTGTCTCATTTTTTATAGTAGCTAAGACATGAAGTAACCTAAATGTGCACTAACAGAAAATTGAATCAAGAAGATGTGGGCCATCCACACTATTTAATACTCTTCATCCATTAGGAAAGACGAAATGCTGCCATTTGAGCAAAATGGCAGGAGTTCAAGGAAATTGTGGCAGTAAAGCACATCAGAAAGGCAGAGGCATTGTTGGGTATTTACATAGCAGATGGTTTGATAAAATAAAATATTTATGGAAATGTATGGTCATTAATAAAGTAAGGTTCTGAAATTAAAGGGAGGAAAGCAGTCAAAGGGGATATAAAAGGTGGTGAGGAAACTTGCTTTACTAATAATAATTCTGTATAAAAATGAGATTGTTTTATACATGTCATCTTGAATTTTTTCCAGTTAAATATTTTGTTATCATGAGTGCTAGTTATTGCGTAAGTGTAAAAATTCCTATAATTCTAATTCTGAGTATTTTTTTCCTCTGTAGTTTTACTTCATTGTTACATGGCCAGAAATAGTTCAAGTGCTTGATTGAAAGAAAGCATATAAATGCATTCATCTGAGTATATTTCAGTGAACTCTCTTATTTATAAATTATATTCAGTATTTGATCTTATAAAGTGTTGTTTTGTAATGTTTCAGGCCAACATTAGTACAAAGTTAAGGATGAGTAAAATAATACTATCTTTACAGATACAACTTTTTTAAAAAATCAAGAAATTAAAATCACAAATCATTCAAAATAATGACCGTCCAGAGATAATTTACTCTTTTTTGAACTCTTTGTTAATTGTTTATATATTTTTTGGCCATTTCTTAGAAAGCCATAATGGAATCTGATGAAGAGTGGTCTATGAACAAGAAACTGATTGATCTCTCTTCAAAAGACATCAGGAAGTCTGTAAGTATCTTTTTTTTTCTTTCTAAAGTAAGAAATTATCCTAGTTTTCAGGATCTTTTGTTTTTCACATCTTACTTGAGAAATAGACCATTTGAGTGACCAAAGGTGAAGTAACTAATTTTGCAATTAAAGAAGAAATTTCTTTGTATACTACCTTATTTGCTTATTTGCAAATGCCTATTGTTCACATGCTTATTTGAAAGTTTGTTTCTGACCTTCTGGTCCTCTCTCAGTGTTATTGGACTCTAATTGGTTACCAGATTCTGCCTTTAGGCTCTGTTCCTTCGCCTCAGGGGAAAGTAGGACAGTGACCTTCTTGATGCCGAAATTATAATTAGAGAAACATTTTCCTAGAGACTTGAATTTGAATTTGGAGCTCTTTCTTTTTTTTTTTTTATTCATACAGAATTGGGGTACAGACCAGAGATGTGGAGGGTGATAGAATTCACCAGAGACAGAGTGGGGAGCAGAACAGGCAGATTGACGAAGTACACTGCTGAGGGGAGCAGTGGGCGGGTCAGGAGAGGTCTGCCACGCCATGTGGTCACCTCCGGGGCAGGTGGGAATCGAACTCATACGGAAGTGGCTTTAGATTCTCGATGCTGTGCTTTAACCCGCTGCGCCACCAGGGAGGGCCGGACCTCTTTCTTACTTTTGCAAAGTTCATCTCTTAGTGCCTTGAAAGAGTAGGTTGATTATGATTTCATTATTATTCTTTTCTAACCATACTTTGTAGTGAATCTTAAATTAAAGCTCAAGTTTTAGATACAAGTTAAAATACGTACTTCTGGCTTCTCTTTTATCTAGAAATATAAATTGAGTGAAATGTAAATATAATAAAACTGAGATTCCTTTGTTTATTTTATTTATTTTATTTTATTTTTTAATTTTTTTTAAAGATTTATTTATTTGTGCATACAGAACTGTGGTACAGGCCAGAGACTCAGGGGTGGCGAAAGACTTCACCAGAGACAGAGTGGGGAACAGAACAGGCAGATCGACGAAGTACATTGCTGAGGGGAGCAGTGGGTGGGCCAGGAGAAGTCTGCCACGCCATGTGGTCACCTCTGGGGCAGGCGGGAATCGAACTCATGGGGAAGTGGTTTCAGCTTCTTAGTGCAGTGCTTTAACCCACTGCGCCACCAGGGAGGGCCCATCTTTCTTTGTTTATTTTAAAAGTAACTTTAGGATATATTCCACAAATGTGTAAATATATTCTATAAATGTTCACTAAGTTCCTTATGTTGATCAGGCACTGTTCTGGATGTTTTCTGTCTATAGTAGAAGAGAACTAAGAAGCTCTCTGACTTTATGGCACTTACATACTAATGCAGGGTTGGGAACTCAGCCCTCATGCTAAAACCAGTCAGCTATATGTGTAAATGAAATTTCTGTGGAACACAGTCTCACCCATTTATTTAAGCATTTTCTTTGCCTGCTTTTGTGGGAGATTTGAGAGTTGCAGATGGGATGCTTGTGATCTTCTAAGCCTTCAATACTTACTAAATCAAACTTTTGTTAAGTTTGAGTTTGTGGACCACTGATCTGATAGATGTCACTAGAATATTTCCTTCCCATCCCTTCTTTTGGAAGGTCAGACTTTTAATACAAGTGATGATAAGATTTCTTAAAACATTTATTATATCCCAGTCAAAAGATTCAAATTTCATTACATCATTGAAGGTACTTTTAATCAAAAAATGGACACCAAAAATATTTAAAAGTAGGAATTTTAAAAGAATATATTTATTGTCTTCTTGCTGGTAAAGAATCTAGTTCCTTTTGTGGGTTTATTTTTCAAAATCTGGGTAAGCACTGAGTTAAGTGCCTGTGGTGGGGGTTGATATTGTAATTTAACTAGTATGGAAAATAAGAAAGAAATGTTAATCATCGATTGTACATTCAGCTTTGAAGTATTTCAATCCTAACAACAGTCGCCTCTTGTGAAGCATCAGTGTGAAGTTTCTGGGACTCTTGAGAATCATGGTAGATGGGAGTAAACCACCTCTGGAGGTCTGACTCAGCTTCAGGATCCAGCAATCTCATGGGTGGAATTTTGGTGAGAACTTGAGTGTAAGACTAATTCCAGAGAAGCCACTTTTTAGGTTAACCAGCCTTCCAATATTTTTAAAATGATAGAATTTTTTGAGCATAAAGTAAACAGCACTGAGTTACTGAGGTGTCTTTTTTTTTTTTTTTTTTTAACTGAAAGAGCCTCATTATGCTTCTTTTAAATCTCTTGTGTCTTTGGTAGTTTCATAAAGTATTTTTTTTCTTCCTTCATTGAGGGTAGGTGGAATTTCTTTCACAGTAGATTCATGACTTTAGTAGAGATTAATTTGTTTACAATTCTTGATGATTTTTTATTGTTTTTTTTTCCCCTTTGGTTTATTGAATTTACATTTCTTATATAAGCATGTTCAGTTACTCTGGGTTACTCTGTTTGTTGCTATTTCAGATCTTTTGCCTATTTCCAAGAACTTTATACAACATTGCAGAGAAATCAAAAGACCCAGATAATTTGCATGGTATTAATGGGTGTTAGGAAAACTGTCATTTTTTCACAAAATTATTTCATTGAGATTTTATAATCTTTGAAATTCCGTGAATTCTTTCTGGACTCTTAAATGTAATGATTTTAAATATAAATTTTGTGATAACTGTGGCACTTAAAAACATCTAACAAAACATTTAGGGGCCAATTTTTAAAACTAAGAAAATTCCATAGCAGTGAAATTTAGGTGTACCCAAAGGCCTTCGAGCTGAGGGATAGTTACAGGATATTTGGAGAGACATCTAGAATAGTTAAATGGGAAAATTCAGATATCTCTGCTTTCCTTACATAAGTAAAAATTTCGGCCTAATTCTGTCAGTAACTTCCAAGAGTGGTACCAAATTTCCAGCCCTCATTTTTTTTAAAGTTTTTTATTATAAATAATATTTTATTTTTGCATTGCCTTTTTTCCATCTCAGTTGTAATACCCATGCAGCCCCCATTTTTTTTTTTTTTTTGAGTAGTCAAGACAGGGAAAAGAAAGTGCTAAATGTACACATGCTTTTATGCCAGCGTCTTTGCAGACCACACCTCTCAGAAGACTGCAGGTATTACGTTTTGCAGCTCAGGCACAAAGAACTTGATGTAACATACTTTTTGTGTCATAGATTGTTGAGTCTTGTTCAATAGAGATTGTTTTCTAAAGCTTCTGTAGGAAATCACCACACAGTAAGTGTTTAAAACCACACAAGTTGCTTTTATTTCTGAAGTCACAGCACAAAATGGGTTTAACTAGGCCAAAATCAAAGTGGTGGCCAGCATGCATTCCTTCTGGAGGTTCTAGAGGAGAGTCTATCCTCTTGCCTTTTCTACAAGAAGCCACCTGTGTTCCAAGGCTTGTCAACTCTTCCTTTCACCGTGAAAGCCAATTGTGTAGGATCTTCCAAATCTTTCCTTGACTTTGAACTTTCTCTCTCATACATGTGATTATGTTGGCCCACTTGGATAACCTGGTGCATTCTTCCCATTTCAAGTTCCATTATGTAGTTGCACCTGCAAGTCCCTTTTGTTGTATGGGCTGATCTTTTCATGGCAGATAGGGATTGAGAAGGCTCAGGCACTATCACCAACAAATTGCTTTCCCAAGTTCTCTTTTCCTTGAAGGTGCTGTCCTTTTGTTGATGTAGTTCTCTAATGTTTTAGCCTTTCAAATTCATTGTCACACAGCATGGTCCACTTTAGAATGCAAAAATACTCTTGTGGAACCTGTGTAGCCTTTTTTTCCTTTGACCACAAAGCTTTTGAGTGAGAAACAGAAATGAAATTTACGTTTGAATGATTTCTGACCTGAACTGGGCTGTACACTTTATGTACATTTGTAAAAATCAAACCTGTGATTAGGGTCTTGTCTGTATCTTTATTTTTCCGAATTATTTTATTTTCCTAATGTCTTCCATATTAAAAAAATATGAAGAAATTTTAAAAAGTCACAAAACAGTAATTCATTTATCTTCATTTTATGTTATGTAGTGTCTTGTAAACTGATTTTTTTTCTTATACTTTTCCTATAATGTGAATAACTATTAGCCCTGATTGTAATGAGGACATGAAATTTACATAATTGATAAAGCAAGATATTTTGCCCTTGTCCAGTCAAGGTAGAATTTAAAATACTTTGTGTTTGTGTGTGTATATAGGGGAAAGGTAAGATGATACTAATCCTGTAGATATTTTGAAATAAGGTTAAAAAAATTATGAATGTTCCGGTTTATTTTATTTTATTTTTTTATTTTTCATTTTTTAAAAAGATTTATTTATGCATACAGAAATGGGGCACAGGCCAGAGGTGCAGTGGCGGCAAGAGGACCCACCAGAGACAGAGTGGGGAGCAGAACAGGCTGACTGTCGAAGTACACTGCTGAGGGGAACAAAGGGCAGGTCAGGAGAGGTCTACCTCGCCATGTGGGATCACTTCTGGGGCAGGCGGGGATCGAACTCATACAGAAGTGGCTTTAGCTTCTTAGTGCTGTGCTTCAACCTGCTGTGCCACCAGGGAGGGCCCAGTTTAGTTTAGTTTTGAAAAATAAATAATAATAAAATCTCAGGTATATTTCAACAAAATCTGTAGTAAATAGCTAGTTCTCTCTCTTTTGCATTGTAAGGAAAATACAGAAAAACATATCATTATTGTCTGTGTAGGGAGAGGAAAATCATTCTGCTGTCTGTAGTTTTTAAAAAGTACCACTTTTCGGGCTTTCCCTGGTGGTGCAATGGGTTAAAGCACCACATTATGAAGCTATCTGAAGCCACTGCAGCATGAGTTTGATCCCCAGCCAGGGAGGTGACCCACATGGTCAGCAGACCTCTCCTAACCCGCCCTTTGCTCCCTTCAGCAGTGTATTTCAATAATCTGTCTGTTCTGCTCCCCACTCTGTCTCTGGTGAATCCTCTCACCCACCACACCTCGGGCCTGTACCCCAGTTCTATAAGCATAAATAAATAAATTAAAAAAAAAAAGTACCACTTTTCCCCAAAGACAGAAAAATAATTGATTTTTTTAAAAGATTTATTTATTTTGGGCCCTCCCCGGTGGCACAGTGGGATAAAGCACAGCACTAAGAAGCTAAAGCCACATCCACATGAGTTCGATCCCCACCTGCCCCGTAGGAGATCCACATGGTGTGGCAGACCTCTCCTGACCCGCCCGCTGCTCCCCTCTGCAGTGTATTTTGTCGATCTGCCTGTTCTGCTTCCCACTCTGTCTCTGGTGAATCCTCTCACCCTCCGCATCTCTGGCCTGTACCCAGTTCTGTATAAATAAATAAATCTTTAAAAAAAAAAAAAAGATTTGTTTATTTTAAGAACTGGGGTACAGGCCAGAGTTGTGGGGGTAGTGAGAGGATATACTATAGACAGAGTGGAGAGCAGAACAGGCAGATTGACTGAAATACAATGCTGAGGGGAGCAGCAGGCGGGACAGCGAAAGGTCTGCCGTATCATGAGGATCACCTCCCTGGCTGGGGATCAAACTCATGCTGAAGTGGCTTCAGAGAGTTTCACAGTGCTGTGTTTCAACCTGTTGCGCCACCAGGGAGGGCCCAATAGTTGATTTTGATTATATTTGCTGGATATTATAAAGAGCTATTGGGCTGAAAAGTTGCCAAATGAAATATTTCACTTAGGTTGTTAGGTCATTGCTAAATGACCTAAATTGCTTAACCTCTGGATTTCGAAATTCTTTGTGTACTAGTTTATCTTATCTATGTTAATTTACCTACTGTCTACTTCATGTCAGGGAACAAGAAGAAGAATTAAGCATAGTTTTCAGATTTCTTGTATTTATGTGTGACTTACCTGTTTACCTAGGTACCCAGAGGCTTACCTTACTTCTCTGTGAATTTTGGTCTCCAAGGAGGATTTGCCCATGTCATTGAAGATCAACAAAAATTTCCTCATTACTTTGGAAAGGTACATTCACAAATCTAAATCAGTTCCAAAGTTTAGCAGTTTTGTAATGCTTTTCTTTTGAAGGGAAATCAAAACTTTGGTAACATTATACTGTTATGCTAGTGAATATTGCTCTACCCAGTTTTTAGAGGGAGGCCTTTGAATCTGTTCATAAAAGTGTTCAGATTGTAACAGTGAGAAATGTTATTTTGGGACTAAACATTTGTTGATGGTGTCAACAGTGATTTCAGTGTTTTCCTGTGTCATCAGCCAGCTTGTTCTGGTGCTCACTACCGTGTCGTGAGGGCTTACAGTGGGCCAAGTGCTGCAGGGAGCTCCCATTCACGCTTACAGTGACTGCCATGAGGAAACCACTGCTTTAATTTTATAGATGAAAAAAGGGAGGTACGTAGAGCTTATAGAACATATTCAGGGTTATGTGCTCTGTGCTGTTAGTGAGAGAGCCATATGTTCTTGAATGAACTAGAGAACAAATGGTTTTATTTCTTCATGTAGATTTCATTGTAGTCCAAGAAGAATATGACTCTTTTTACACAAAATGAAATCAGTTTCTCAGCAGATAATAGAGTCTAGGTCTTTCTGTAATCAGCAGGTTCTTTCCATTAGTACAAGTTGCCTTTTATAGTCCTTAAATCTAAGGCCTACTAAGTATCTGGAAAGCATTTAAGTTAGTATCAGTAACTGGAATGACGTGAATATTGCAGTTGGAGCAGTCAAAACAAGTCTGGACAATAAAGATCTAGACGTGAGCTTTTTATCTGGTGCAGCTCAGATCTTTCTGTGTTTATTGCATCGAGGTTTGAGGTGCCTTGATGAGTACTTCTTGGGGTACCCCAGGTTTGAAATCACAACTTTCTATGCTCTTGTCCTTACAGGGTTAACCTAAGATGCTCAGCTCACATACATCTTTGAACTGTTGACCTATTTTATAGTAACTGGAGACATCATCTCAATATTTTTTTCTCAGAATTCATTAGAAAGAAATTTGTTTTCATTGTTCTGTCATTCTATCGTTTTATAATTGAAGACTCAATTTCAGATTTATTTTCAAAAAAGCTTGATTTTAGTGAACTTAAGGTAAATTAGCCACTGTTTTTACTTTTGTAAATTTAATTGGGACATTAATTGCTTCAAATATTTTGTATATTATGGTTTATAAGATGTTGTTTTAATCTTAAAAGGAAACTTTCTCACTTAGTTTTGCATCATGGGTCTGTTTTCCCCAAAATTTGCTTTTCAGCAGTCAGCTGTGAGCCTGCTCTGCCACAGTTGTTGAGAGAGCAGAAAGGGGTGCTGTCTTTCCATTAACCGCTGCTTCACTGACAGCCAAAGTCAGTCCTGTATGAGACACATAACATGAAAGTTGATGTTTTATAGAGAATTTCTTAGGCTCTCTTATAGAAGCAAGGTTTGTTAAGGTATGTTGTTTACTTGGCCAGTGCTAAGAAACTCTCACACTAAATATAAATTTGCCCCATTTATCTTGACATCTTCTGTGAACTGCTATCTCTGCTGGTGCATTATGTATGTTCTCAATGAAAGGTGCAGAGTCCCTCTTCCTGCACCTTTTTCATCCAACAAATGCATCCACTTTTTTTTAAGTCTCCGTATTGGTTGTTTTGACATTTTTATTTTTGCATTGAAGAACTGGAGTATAAGATAGTGGTGTGTGTGTGTGTGTGTGTGTGTGTATGAGAGAGAGAGAGGATTCGCCAGACACAGAGTAGTGTTAGCTTTCTAGAAGGGGATCAAAACTCAGGCCTTAGTGGTGATAATGCTGAGACTTAGCCCCTAGACCACCAGCAAAGCCTTGTTTTGGTATTTTTCTTTCTCTGCTGTATAAAGCCATCCTTTGTACAATTGGGAGTTTATTCTGGCTCCCACCACATTCTCTTGTGAGCGTGCTCTGAAGACAGAGATGTGTATTACTTATCTTTGTTCCCCTGCAACATTTGGCTCTTGCTTGTATGTAGTAGGTCCCTTTGTTTTAACAGTTAAGGTGAAGAACATGTGTCTTAAAGAGATTATGTTCCAAATCTCACCTCATTCCTACAGCACTAGAATGAATATGCAAAATGGGACTCTTAGCCCAGGATTTTCCTGTATTCCCAAACTGGCCTCTCTCTCAGCATTATAGGTCACCCCACTATCTTGCATAAATTTGATTAATTTCTGTAGCTAATAAAGCAGGAAAAGGGTCATGAAGGAAATCACATAGAATGATAATCAGATAATTAAAAATCCACTCCTTGCAGGGCTTGGGAATGTGACTTTTTACATTAAAATGATTTGTAACTTTTAATACTTGGCTTACTTGGATTAGTACTAAAACATGATTTTGTTTCCTGTAAAAACAAAAGTGGAAGACACTGATTTATAAACATATTGGATAGTAGATATTCAATTGCAGTTAACAACAAAGTTAATAACTGCTGCATGTTGATTAACTTTTTCCAGAGCAGTTAATAAAAACCAAATTAATTAGATCTCTCAAATTCTTATCTTCACCTTATTGGTCTCTAGTATGTGTTAACAAGTAACAAAATGTCCAAAGTACTTGGCAAGAGACACTACTAAACTCTTGGACTCAAAGGGTTTACAAAGTTAGAACCAACTGAAAATGATAATTTTAAATTTGAAATTAATACATGTTAATATATTGAAGATTCTCACAGAACTATTTAGTATTATATTTGGTAGTAGAATAAACAGACATAGTCCCATTCCTCTTTTCAGTATTTACTCATATATGTGTTTGTATTTTTCTTTAAAAGGAAATCATTGGTGGGATGCTGGATATAGAACCAAGGCTTTGGCGGAAAGGGGTCCGAGAAAGCTTTGAGGATCAGAGGAAGAAGGCACTGCAGTTTGCTCAGTGGTGGAAACCATTTGACTTCACCAGAAATAAAAACTGTTGAGTTAGACTGTTCATTCATGATTCCTCTCCAGAGTCCTGCCAGTTTTATTTCCATTGCACCAAGCTAACCACTGCCCTGTGGCAGAGGTAGAGTGTGGTCTCTGTCCGAGGCAGCTGTGCGTCCTTTCGTCCTGTCTTCCTCTTCTGCTGCTGTGGGCACCTTGAAGTAGCTGTGGAGTAAGGTGGGGCTGCAGTGGGTACCTGCTGATGCTCCTGTTCGCTACCTTCCTCTTGGCATGAACTGTTCCTCTGATATATGGAAAGACTTTACCGAAGAAAGTAACAAATGCAACACATCATTGATTCAGATGAAAGTGGGTTTAAGGTTAAATTGATTGACTGGCTGGTTTTGCATTATTTAAATTAAGACTAGGCCTATTTGGTGGTAATTGAAATTTCTTTCCATAACTTTTTTTAGAAGTTCTCTTCACTTTTTACCAATAGTATTATATACCACTGCTCTTTTTATTAAGGAAAAAAATTGTCCCTAATGTAATAAAGAAGTACATGAAGTATAACATGTTCATGATTTGTTTTATTTCTGGATTTTTAAGTAGTGTCCTTGAATTTGGGTAATTTAAAGAATAATTGGCTCAACACAATTTATGTCATTTGAGGTCTGTATGAGAGCTAATAGTTTTAGACAAATCATCATTTTGAGGTTGCATTGGTTATTACAGAGTCTTTAGTAATCAGAGCATTTTGCATGTTAGGAGCACATTTTCTTGTCCTTCCAATTGATCTAAGTTTCTTCAATTTTCTTTTTTCTTATTTGGTGTCAAGAGAAAACCACATAGATACTCCCATGAATAGCTGTGCTATGAGAGGGCACATGCTATTTTTCTATAAGGGAGGTATTTTTGGCAGTACCTCTTTACTCAAAAATGTGATGGGCATTTTTATTTTTTGAGCTAAACCTTGACATTTTGTGATGAAATGTTGAACACCTAGAATCTTACTCTAGAGAACCCATAATGTAATGTAGTTATTTTTAATATTGACATCTTGTTTCTTTAGTATGTTATAAAAGCAGGTTCTTTTGTTCCATCAGTCATTTTCAAATTTCTCATATAAGTTGAAATGTAACTGTTCAGTGTCTCAGTATTTGCAAATTGCATTTGAGCATATTTATCAAATCTATATTAAATAGTTTTTTATCTATTACTGTTTCAGTCTCGTGGTTCTCCTGCAAAGTCTTAGCATAATCTATTGCATTTGTTTATTCAGCCAGTGAGTTAACAAATGTTTGATTGCAGGGGATTTTGTTACATGCTGGTAGTACAGAAATAAAAAAAAAAAAAGGTCATTTTGCAGTTTCGTGGAGAAAGAGACATGTACTTAAATAATCACAGCACACTATATGTTCCACGTGAGATACATGCCTAGTACATTTGGCTATACCGCTACGTCTGTCTTCATTGTGTCTGAGGATCTGCTTCCTCTTCTGCTGGGAAAATAGAACCAAGTTGAAAGGGCATTCTGCCACAGCTCTCAGTGGGCCTTCATGAGTACCAGGTGCTCTACTTCTCCTGGCAACTGGAGATCAGTTATTACCTGGGGCCAGCCTGCTCACTTCTGTCTTACCTACTCAGCTGCTCCTATCTTCTCTGTACTGACTTCCCCCCTCTTGAGATTATTCCTAGTAGCACACAAAACCTTATATCAGCAACAAACTGGCATCATCTTCCCCTCTCTAGCCATTTCTCTTCACCAGTTGACAGCAAAGATCATCAAAAACAAACCACTGCTCTTTTCCTGCTCCTCTTGGTCTCACTGTGGCTAAACTTCACCCACACTATTCTACTAACTGCTTATGTCTAGCTCCTCAGCAGAACCCACTCACTGGCAAGTAAAGTGATATACCTATCACTTCTGAAACAGTTTCTTGACTTGCTTCTAGAACACTCTTATTTATCCTTATGTTTCAGAAGGTCCTCAGTGTCTACACTGATTGCTACTTGTAAGGAATCTGTATGAAGCCAGGTGAAGATTGACCTGCCTTAGAGCAGTAGAGGTAACATTTCCCACCGGCTAAAAGGGAAACTTCCAAGATTGGCTAGGAATTGGGCAGTGAGAACTGTAGTACTGTTTGGAGTAATTGTTTCAAGAAGGCAGAATAATTGTCCTAAGACCAAGCCCTGAGCTTGTATTGACAAACAAATCTTAAAAGCAAAGGAATCAAACTATTTCCAGGTGATTTAACTGTACCCAGAACAATGTTCTAAAATAATTATAGGGATAAAAATATATTCAGGCCCTCCCTGGTGGCGCAGCGGGTTAAAGCACAGCACTGAGAATCTAAAGCCGCTTCCGCATGAGTTCGATTCCCGCCTGCCCCGGAGGTGACCACATGGCGTGGCAGACCTCTGCTGACCCGCCTGCTGCTCCCCTCAGCAGTGTACTTCGTTGATCTGCCTGTTCTGTTCCCCACTCTGTCTCTGGTGAAGCCTCTCACCGCCCCTGAGCCTCTGGCCTGTACCCCAGTTCTGTATGCACGAATAAATCTTTAAAAAATATATATATATATTCAGTAACCCCAATATAAAAGTCAAATTTCCATCCAGCCCAAATATTCCAAGAAGTGCAAAGAAACCCTGAAATGGTCACTACATAGATAAATATATAAAGTTTTTTTCTTGTTCTTTAAATTTTTTGAAAAGTTTTTTCACTGTTTAAACCAAAATAGTTACTGTGAAGTTTATAATATACGAAAAGTAAAATGTTAATCATCAGCTTATTCCTGCTTTTCAGCTATTTATGTTTTCAGTTTTTTGAATTGTCAGTTCAAGTGCTTCTTTATATCCAGAATGCTTTTTGAGAATTTTAATCTAGTCTGATATATCATGAAACTACTCTTTTCATTTCATTGCTGGTTATTTTTCTCTGGACAAATAATTATGTCTAGTTATTGTCAAAGAAATTTTATACAAATAATGTATCACACAATGACATCTCACTTTTGGATTATTTAAGACTTTATCATTTTTTTTTAAAGATTTATTTATCTGTACATACAGAACTGGGGTACAGGCCAGAGGCTCAGGGATGGTGAGAGGCTTCACCAGAGACAGAGTGGGGAGCAGAACAGGCAGATCAACGAAGTACACTGCTGAGGGGAGCAGAGGACGGGCCAGGAGAGGTCTGCCACACCATGTGGTCCCCTCCGGGGCAGGCGGGAATCGAACTCATGCAGAAGTGGCTTTTTAGCTTCTCAGTGCAGTGCCCTAACCCGCTGCGCCACCAGGGAGGACCAAGACTTTATCATTTTTAATTGAAGGACATGGTCTTGTAACATATAAGTTTCAGTATCACTAAAAATCAACATCCAAACATACAATGGTAAGGTCACTACTGAAAGCCCAGTCTGTCCTTTACCATCTGGTTGACCTGCTTTCCCCATTCCCTTTACACTCCTCACTATTGTGCTAGTATAAACGTTCATTTTTGTTTTATTTAGCTTATTCACTCATTTGGTTTCTCTATATACATATGTAATTGAAGTCACATAGTGTCTGTCTCCTCCGCTCCACTTAATTTACTGAGCATAATACCCTCCTGTTCCATTGAGGGTAATGCTATTGGGAGGACTTCATCTTTTTTTGTAGCTACATAGTCTTACAATATGTTGATACAGCACGTCATCTTTAATCAGTCATCTGGATAAGCACATCAGTTGTTTTCCACTTCTTGGTGCCTCAAATGCAGTGCTGCAGTAAACATGGTGGAAGGGCCGTCCATCTCTTTAAATTAGTGCTTTGTATTTTGGGGGTACATATTGAAAAGTGGGATGACCGCACTGTATGGAATTTCTGTTTTTAATTTTTTGAAGAATTTTCATGCTGTTTTCTGTAATGACTGCCCCATTAATGATGTATTTAAGATTTTATAATCTTACTACAGTTATTACTGTGTAACTAAGATTTTTAAAATTAAAATAATACTGATAAGGGTGACATCAAGCTTCCAGTGGATGTGTAAATAGGTATATCTTTACTGTAACTAATGTTGACACAGGGTAACAAGTCTTAAAATTATAAACTTTGATTTTTAGTAAAAAATTATATGCAAAAAGATTAATGTTTAATGTTGAAAAAAGTCTTCAATTATCTCACAAGAAAATGTATAGCTTAACTGGGATATATTCATTATTCAAAACATATAGCATATGGTATTCAGAATTTAAGATTTGAAGAAACTGTAGAGCTTTGGAGATATTGGAATGAAATCTGACAAAGAACCCAGAGTACTCAGCTATGTACAGTGTATAATGTATACACATTTCCTGTGTATGTATGCAAGTAGAAGGTTCTGAAGGGAATGCACCAAAACTTTTGAGTGTATTCCTTATTGTGAAGTATAGATTTTTATGCCTTGCCATGCATTATATTCATTAATTATTATGTCCTGTTGTATATAATATGAAGTAATACACATTTTCACAAAGCAAACAGGTGTGTAATATAGTAAAGTGTATATTTTAGTAGGAGTCAGAAAATCTGGACTTAAAGCCCATGGACCCATTTGCCCACAGTAAGTTTCTCTTTGAGCCTAATTTCTCATCTAGAAAACAATCATAGTAATTATAATTTACAATGTAATGAAAGTTAAATGTAACAAATAGATGTTGCACACTTTAGACATTCAAAACAGGACATTGCTATCATATGCATAAATTTGTTCAACTCCACAGAGAAATTTTGGAGTGTAGATATTTCTTACGTAAACCCCATGGAAAACCATTGAAGTAGAGGGGATTCATGTAATAAGCTGATATTTGAGGTGGATTTTAAAATATTTAATATACTAATGTTAAAATGTTCCAGAAAGAAAACATAAGTTGCATATTTTGATATAATATCAGTTTTTCTGTTACTTGTTTCTAAGAGTACACTTATGGCTAAGTGTGTTAGTAATTTGTCATGCATTGCAAATGAATACCATGTTACCATGTGTGTCCCCCCCCCCACCCTCTTAACTGTATTCTGTGTTTTGTTGTTGTATAAAAGTTCTATAATGAAATATAATCATGTTCTGGTATAGAGAAAAAGAAATAAAAGATTTAATATTTTAATGTTAAAATGGTCTAGAAAGAAAGCTTAAGTTGACTATTTTGATATAATTTAAAATTTTATTTTAATTTTTTATAAGGTACAATAGCAGAAAGTCAATAAAATTGCAAGTTTTGTGTTCTTTTTGCATTCTAGCAGCTATAAAGATACTGAGGGATCACTTCCTAATTTATACTTTGAACACTGTTGGCTCCCTGTATTTGACAGTGA